GACAACTACAATGGTTAAGAACAATAGCATAGAAATCAAAGGTCCACAGTACAAAGTTCAAACCCTGGAGACAAGACGATGAGGACGACAACGCAGTCTACGTTATACTTCAGGTACGTGCACATCTTAACTCTACCGTATAATTTCCGTAGGCCAACGTATAACAATTTATTAAGCTCAGTTAATGTACAACACCTCAACGCTGATGCCCCAAGAGAATTCCGGCCTACCCGAAGACTTGCGTAGAAATTTCGAACAAACCCTAGAAAACGCAATGTCAGTAATCAGAGCAAACAGTGCCGTGGAAGACGATGCTCATTCCGATTCCCATACGGACAGGGATAGTCAGCCAGGTGACAATCCCCCCCCCCCTCCACACCAGCAACCTCAGATACATCTAGCTGAGCATGAGGATGACCCTGTGAATGATCCAATGTATCCACCCATCTTCCGCACGGATCGCACCGTTTACGAGATGCGTAACGAACTGAAACTGAGTAACGGTCTTAGTTACAGCATTAAGCTGTTCAATCCTGATGAGTGCGAGATTTCCTTCAGTACTGACTCTGTACAGGAAAAGATGTGGGATGGTTTCCTCGCTGGTCAGCAACCCTATGGTGGTGAGGGCACACCAGAAAGACCCCAGCGGAGGTGGGAAAATACTGTTTACCACTTCCCTCAAGAATACATTAGAAATCGTGACCCCGATGACCTCGAAGCCAACGACTGGCTTGAACCTCTGCCTGGCAGATCGTAAATCCCTTCGAGGTAGGGAAACAAAACCGTTACTCCATCAATGACGTGCGCCGCATAATGGCTGCCCCTGATCCTCCCAATCAAAATGACTACCAACCAGGAGCCGTTGTTTATTACCCTCCAAGTCACGAGGAGTCTAGATTCCGCCAATTGGCGAAGGCTGAACAACGTGCAATAATCTAGAGTGACGAACTACCCACACAGCTCAGGAAACCTTACATACTGGATAAGATATCTAAAAAAGGCATTCTAATTCTAACCAATCGTATTGAAGACATACATCCAGAGCATACCATTGTGTTCCACCCTAGAAAGAGGAACTTTTTCCGAGCTTACTATTCCCTCTGTGGTCGAAGGTATCAGAACGTCAAGAAACTTGCTCGTCAGTATGACTGTATCATCCGAACATGCACTAGGGTCTATAATGCACCAAATTCACATGATTATATCGATAGCTTAAACGCTCTTCTAATGATCCCTAACGTGCCACGTCAACAAGATCTTCCTCCCGCGTAATTCCAGTATTATTGCTGATGCCGCTTTTGCGAAGGTGCTTCCGCACATTCCAGTAGAACTTACAGCTGATTCACTGATGTCACAAAAAGTCCCAAAGTCCTTGGTACTATTAACAACAAATAATTAACTGATCAGCTGGATTAAATAGGGACAGTCTTTGGAAATATGTATCAACTCTCCCCGCCTAAATTTCACATTTTAGAAGCTGATCGATATGCCTCCTCCACACAGTTCCGTCTTCCATTTTGACTTGGTATAAGAGGGTACCTTCTCTTCCAATGATAGTTCCAAAGCTCCATTTCCGTTTAGGACTTGAGTAGTCTCTAGCCTGTACACTGTGGGAGAGTTGATACATATTTCCAAAGACTGTCCCTATTTAATCCAGCTGATCAGTTAATTATTTGTTGTTGTTTTTATTTATGTTTATGTGAAGTCATTCAGTAATAAATATACACTACACAGTCAACATTATGTGCACAATTTAATTGTATTAAATTAGGCAAAGTACATAATAGGATCATAAAAACAAATGACGGTTTTGGCTCGAAAATAAACATAATTTAACATTGCTTAAATAGAACTGCCAAAACATATTTTCAATGCCATTAGTATAGGATTCGGGCCAACAACGTCATTTGTTTATGTTTATGATACATACAGGGATTTTTCTAGTATTCGTGGTTTATTGGCAACAAATATAAATTGTTTTATAATTAAATATACGGTAATTATATAATTAAATATATAGTAAATATACGGAAATGGAATTCGTACAATTTTGTTCAGAATTTAAAGGACTCTAACATACTTCTTCTATCTTTATCAAAATCGTTCGGGCCATTTTTGGGAAAATCCGATTTTTCCGGGATTTTTCTAGTATTCGTGGTTTATTGGCAACAAATATAAATTGTTTTATAATTAAATATACGGTAATTATATAATTAAATATATAGTAAATATACGGAAATGGAATTTGTACAATTTTGTTCAGAATTTAAAGGACTCTAACATACTTCTTCTATCTTTATCAAAATCGTTCGGGCCATTTTTGGGAAAATCCGATTTTTCCGTTATTTTTACAGAAATGGAATTTGTACCATTTTGTTCAGAATTTAAAGGTGAAAGGTGAAAGGTTTTTTTTATTTTACTCTGTAGCCCTGCATTTTTGTTCGTTACAGTACTGGTCTTTTTCTTAGTTTCATTTCATTTCGTTCACTGTAATGTACTGTATTACGTAATATTTTTTTTAGTTTTGATGTTGTATTAAAGTGTTTTTCTTAGTTTCATTTCATTTCTTTCACTGTACTGTACTGTATTACGTAATATGTTTTGAGTTTTGATGTTGTATTAAAGTGTTATTAAAACCAAAATACCGTTGTTTTATTTAATAAACAAACGTTTCCGCATTTAAGGCTTACTAAAATTGAGTACCGTAGTTGTTGTACAGTATCAGTCTGTTTTCTCATCTAAAAAATGTGTCTCTCATATCCGGATTTATTGTTATCCGGATCGGCCGGCGCCACATTAGTCCGGATATGAGAGGGTTTACTGTTTACTGCTGTTTTGTCCAAGTAACAGTTCACACTTGTTTTGTGGTGCGTTTTTGGTGATTTAATGTTTATGGTTCCGTCAGTATGGATAGAAAACTAAAGTTACAAGAAATAGACGAGTTGTTATTGGAAGATCTACCTGAAAACTTTAAAAATTCGGATTTGAGTGGTGATGATAAAAGTGAGAAGTGGGGTTAGGAGAAAAGTATTGTTTAGATTCAAAAGAACCAGATATTTCGCTCAGAAATGTTGTCCCTAATGTAAATAGTAAAGTAGATTTAGGATTTATTGATGTCTCTACTACTCCTTTTAAGTCCTAGTATTAGTAATGAGAAATCGTTTGTCGAGCCAAGTACAATCAGCCCATGCATACTATTAGAGCCTAATGAGCTTGTAGAAACTGTAGCAATAATCAGTGATGAAACCGAAACTATTAACAACTTTGATGAAATATTCAACACAGAAATTGTTAAGGCAGGCCTAAGTCTAGAAAATGAGATTGTTCATGATAAAGGCCCTGTTGAACCTATTTTAGCTGAAACTCCAAAATGTTGTTAAAATTTAACTGTTGAGACCAGTGTAACTAGTGAAGATAGGTCTATTGCCACTGATAAAACTAAAAACAAATCTATAAAAAAGTTAGATGTGTAAAGAAAGTTGATGTGAGTAATAAAGTCAAACTTAAAGTAATGAAGGCAGGAACAAAAGGCCAAAAAAGAGGACTGTTCTTAAAAGGAAAAAGATGTTCCTGATTACAAATGGAAGAAGAGAGATTATTCAACGACAATTTGTAACGGGTCAAATGTGTAGGGGGTAAAATAACGGCTAAACCACGAAACTTAAACAGCTGAATGTAAGCTGTTGTTGTGCCCTAGTCGCGACTCTAAACTGACATCGTAACTAACCTCAAATTCCAAGATCGCAGACGACGTTGGTATAAGTTTGGTTGTTTGGTTGTTGACTGCGTCTGAGGGCAGGCTACGGGAGAAAAGAAGAGCAGCGGAGCCACCTTTTGAGTGGTACGCGGCTGTCAGCATGTTGAAGCTGTCATGCGCCTGCCTTCGCCAGCACGGGACTCAGCTGACTCTGTTTGTGCTGACCAATCAGGGAGCGTTTTAACCTTCGCCTCGAATCTGAGACGAAGGTGAAGGGAGAAGAATAAGGATTGTTTTTCGTATTCCCGGCTTTAAGGCATTCGTTCTTTCGTCTTCGATTTGATGAGTTTTTCGTTCAACTACTTCGTCGTTTTAAAGTTACAGTAAGTTTCGTGGTGCATCGAGTGCGCGAAAAAAAAAGTTTTACAGTATTATTACTTCGTTTGGTAAGTTGTGTAATAAACTTAAACAACTTAGGTTTTCTTTCGAATACTTCTCCGTCAGTTGTGTTTCGGCAGAACTTTGTCGAAGTTCGTAGGCTAGGCCTGACTCTCCGATCTAGTCATACATTTTTAACCAACTAATTTGGTAAAGTATTGCAGTTGGTGGAATATATTTTCGTTTAACGTTTCTTAATCCGTCTTGGGACTTTATTTTTTAATTCATAAAACCCTTTTTAAAGTTCCCCAAACGTCCCAAAGTTTGTTCCAGCAGACAGGTTTCTGCTGGACAATTTCTGTCAAAGTTGGTTCAAGTTGAACACGTGAGGAAGTTAAAGTTTTAGTTTTTCGTTTTCAGCTCAAGGAGCAGTTTTATTTTTAGTTTCATTTTTTTATAGTTTCGTGTCTCACTTGGACAACTTAAGCCAACTTGTTTCCTTGTTTAATAAATTCGGACTCTGTGGGAGTTAGGCTTGGTTAGGCCTATCTTGTACTAACCTTGTTTGTTGCAGGTTGACCACTTAACTCTGTAGGTAAGCGGGGTGACTACTTAGCTTACTTGTTGTCTCGTTAAGTTAGCTAGTAGTGTGTCATTTAGATATTTGCCCACAGAGTCAAGTCACGATTATTAATTTCCCCACGAGCCCTAGGTTAGAGTGGTGATTTCGAGTTGGGTGTTTGGGTAACCCGCAAAGTTCGTCTCGAGCTCTGACAACCAGGGCTATCAAATTTAGGCTATCTGAATCACTATCGACTCCTGGGAAACTCCCCGCGACCAGACTAGGGCGAATCCTGGGATCTCGTTTTCTTATCGGTGGCGTAATTTTCCACTTGTCGCCCGCCAGGAAGATTACGTCACATAAATGGCGCCCGAACAGGGACGGTGGGCATCGTATGCCTTGCCTGGTTACCCCCACTCCTTGCAGGGTAATCACCAGTGCGGCCAGTCTTTGGCGAGGTAGGTTGCGGTTTACGGTCAGAACCTAAAAGATACTGGAAAGGACATGTTGAATAATGCCGAAATCCTACTGCTGTTTTCCTCCAGCTTTTAGACCAGGATTTGGTGAGCCATATTACCTGTCAATCAAATCTCTTTGCTACACAAAAGGGCAAGACCCTAAACATAAAAGAGAATGAACTTTTAGGGCGGGTTTCTGAGTCAGGTATTAGCGCTAGTCTTAGACTAAAGCTCATTTTAGTGCTGGACTAAGAAACATATCTTTCTGATTCGAGTACTTATAAGTCAGCGACTAATCTTAGTCAAGAACTAGTTTTTAATTCTGAACTAAAGAAATTATGCTTTAGTCCACGGACTAAAACATGCTAGATTTTAATCCTTCATATGGGTAGGATTAATTTTAGTCGTCCACTTTTAACCTAAGCCATTTTTGTACCGTATGTTTAAGTTGAAGGTGATTATGGATTACATCGATTATAATGATTTTTACCGTTTTCGTGGGCCACGAATTCGTCGTGAGCGGGAAAACAATCCATTTGTTGACTTAAGTGAGGATGAATTCAAGGATAGGTATAGATTTTCAAAAAACTCTGTGAAAGAACTAATTGAATTGATAAGGCCTATTTTGGAAGGCACTTCCACAAGGGGAACTAGGTTACCTTTGTGGAAGAAAGTGTTGGTAGCGTTGCGCTTTTTTGCAAGTGGAACACTTTTGCGGGAAGCCGGCGATCAAACTAATATTTCAGAATCATCGGCATGCCGCTATGTGCATAAAGTGGCATTGGCAATATGCCATAAACTGAGGAAAGACTACATCATATTTCCAAAGAACCAATATGCTCAACAAACAAAGGACGCCTTTTATTGATTAGGTCGTTTCCCTGGCATCCTCAGTGCAATTGATGGCACATTGTGGCCATTGTGGCCATTGTGTGTCCATCAACTGACGACAAGGAGGAGTACCGAAACCGCAAAGGCTATTTTTCAATCAATGTTTTTGCGGCGGTAGGCGCTAAGCAAGAGTTTACCAACATCGTCGCCAGGTGGAAAGGAAGCACGCACGATTCCCGAGTTTTCAAAACCTCATCCCTATACGCCCGTTTCGAGCAGAACGAGTTCAACGGTGTGCTGATAGGAGATAGCGGGTACGAATGTAACAGGTAAGATATGGTTTGGAATGCTTCTTAACTGGATTTATCCTAATTAAAGTAGGTACATTATTATTACTTGTCTTAGCAATTAACTTAATTTATTTCTGAATAGGAGAATTCAACTGAGGCATTTACAATACAACCTTTAAGCGGTTTTCTAGTAGCCTATAAGTTAGCTTTTTATTTTATTTATTTGCCAACGGATTTACACCAATTTTACAGTTTGATTGAGTTGTAAATTGCTCATTACGACTAGATGGCCTAATAACTTCAGATGCTAAAAACTTTACTACTAGTAGCCTAGCCTATATTAAATAAGGTTGACTAACTTGCATAAACCTTGTCTCGACTGAGTTTATATATCAGGGTTTCAATTTTCAATACTTATAAGTTAAATTCAACTTCTAGGCTAGCTACATTGTTCTATTTTTGAAAGACATGTTTTTAGGCGAGGTTTATTATACTGTATTGTTCAGCTTGTGGGCTTCACTCACCTTAATTTGTTAGTCCAGGACTCGTCAAATGTAACACAACGAAGACACAAACACACATACACGCACATAAAAATCGTCCTTGGATTAATTAACTCCGACGTTTCGAACTTTACGTTTTCAAAAGTAAAGACACAATTCGTAGCCGTCTCACCAAACTAAAACCTGAAAATGAACAGCAAAAAACAAAAAATATTATCTATAAAATTCCTTGTTCGTGTGGTAGAAACTATGTAGGGCAAACGTCAAGGCCAGTGACGGTGAGGATTAACGAACACGTTAAAAAGGTTAAAAATAAGGATAGGTATGGCTCGAAAATCTGTGAACATGTATTAGAGACAAAGCATACAGTAAAATGGGATTCCAGCAAAATTCTATACAAAGAACCGGATTGGAGGAAACGGAACATGGCAGAGTCACTATTTATGGCTATTGAAGATGAGCCTCTATCACGACCATCGGTGGATGTTAATACTGTTTATTTACCAATAATTAAAGAAGAACTAGAACAGCTGAGAGACAAGGCCAAGGATGTCAAAGGCTTATCTACAATAACCAGTACGTCTACCAACCCCCCTGCCCTCCCCCCCTCTACTGGAACAGCTGATCCGGCAGTCGTGGTTAGGCGTTCGGCTCGTGTACGCGAGAGAAACAAAGTTTTAATTCCCTGAGGAAGCGGGACGTTATCTTGGTCCCGCGAAACGTCGGAGTTAATTAATCCAAGGACGATTTTTATGTGCGTGTATGTGTGTTTGTGTCTTCGTTGTGTTACATTTGACGAGTCCTGGATTAACAAATTAAGGTGAGTGAAGCCCACAAGCTGAACAATACAGTATAGCTACATTGTTTTGCTGGCTCCAAGATTTTCCCGTTAAGTTTATTAGGCCTATATAACACATTTCCTTTCGATCATAAAGGGTTACTTTGGTATTATCCGGAGGAAGTATCCGGAGGAAGTGAATCTTCTGGCCTCAGGTCATTTGGTAGGCGTGACAGAGGGAGGAGTGTGTCGAGGGGCTCAAGATAGGACAGAAGCCCAACCAGACGTGAAATATCCCCTCCCCTACTCAGACGTGAAAGATCCCCTACACTATCCAGACGGCACAGATCCCCTACACTATCCAGACGGCACAGGACTTTACCACGAGACTCAACAAACTCCCCAACACCACCACCATCACATACACCAACACCACCACCTAGACCAACACCTCCACCACAAGAACCGTCTACACTAGAACAACCACCACCTCCACCTCACCATCTATTACGTCCAACACCACAACAATCCTCTACACTTCCACAACAATTAATTATACCACAAGCACCACAACTACAGCTACCCCAACCACAACTCCCGAGACTGCTCCAAAACACAACATATCCTCCACGACAGTACTTTACACATCCTACCACCCTCCAGTATCAACGTTTCATCCATCAGCCTCCTCCCCCACTCAACCCCATTCGAAATCATGTCCCAGTTTGTCGTGTCCCCCATCCACAACCATCAAGGCCTTCTTTCATCCACGCCCCACATCAAATCGCTTTAAATCCTTATCTCCTTCCTTCCCATCCCCCACAACATCAATACACCCCTCGAACCTCAAATCCCCGCCAGGAACCTCCCTCTCAACTACGTGAGGAGCCTGCCCCACCAGGCGTATGATTGGTTTTAAAATCAAAGTACATAAGATCTTGTAAAATATGACAATTGTATTATTCTTAAAATTATTAACATTTTCTTTTATCATTATTATTTTTGTTGTACAGTTTAAATGTATGCAGTTGTAACTATAACATTTTTCATCATTATTATCACCTTTTATTAATTTATGTAATAGCGTCATGATGCAACCAAGGTCACATGAGGTCCATTCCAGGCTACATATGTACACTAGTAAAGAGTGCGCTAACCTAGACTACGTAATTTTTTGTTTTTAACCATTATTTTAACACATATCACAAGAAAAACGAAAGAAAAACTTAAGGGCAGATGCCAGCAATAGGTTTTTATGGTAGTCACTTTAATTAGCTAAAAAGTGCTTAGTATTGTTCATTAACCTCTAACTAGAGGTCGTCCGTCCAGTGGTCGAATCTCAACCTAAAATATTTAATGTTCAGACTTCTCTATTTTCACCACACACTGTAAATAAAACATGTGATTGGAGTTTCTTCTATTTGTTTTGATTTTCTGTTTATATTTCGTTGTTATTTCGTCACCAGCATGGCAACCGATAAGATCAATGAAACTTTTTTTCAAAATTTTAAATTTATTTGTTGTGCTTATTTTTGAGCTTATTTTAATTTATAAAGGGATTCTGCACATCTACAGGAAAATATCTTTCCAACAGTATGAGTAGATTTTCCCTGCGATGCACACGAGCTGAGAAAAAAGATTTAAAGAAACATGCTTGCCTAATAATATGTAGATAGTGTTGTGTAAATAATAAGTAAAAAGGACAAAATCAAGTTTAGTTTAGGTTCAGCCCATTTTGGCATACATACATAAGGACAGACTCATTGCTAGTCATTCCTCTTTTCCTAGTTGGCAATCCTGCCGGTGACGTAGCATTACCTACTCCTTTTTCCTTTTATCTCTTCTTCATGTCAATGTCAATCTGCTTTCCCGCCCGCTACCACTTATCACGCACCAGTTTGTGCCTTGAACTTTCTTATACCGTGATCGGTTTTAAATTCAATAATTATCGTGTCTCGCCTCCGGGATTATCTTTGTGTCCGTGAACGACTTTATCCACTACGGCAGGATGATCTTCGCTGGACCAAGGGGCCCCTGAGAATTCTACACTCCACACTCCAGGCCGCCGACCACGCGGCGGAGAAGAAAGGATCGGTCGTGAGTGATACTTCAATTTTACTATTAGATAAGACTTCATTAATTATTTTCTTTCAAGTTTCAGATGTGTCATTTTACTGCTCAATTTATTCAAACGTCATAATACAATACAGTCCACTAATTAAATCACTAACTAATTCAATTCTCAAACAATCCATAACAGATAGATAATGTGAATAGACATTTTGTACTGACTTTGTTGTAATATACCTCAAATGGATGTAGTTATGCAATGGTAGACCAAGCGACATATGTGGACATTTTGAGCTTTCAGATCACTCTGGTAGATAAATGTTGAAGCTATTAGAATAAAAAAAAAACTTATCACAGGACTTAATAGGAGAATTAAAAAAAGGAAAAACCTAAGCGCCATTTGCTTTATCTTACATTTTACAATTTGCAATCATAGACCAACAGATGAGTAAAATCTCAATAATAGACCAAGAGACGCTTTATTTTGCATTGATAGACCAAGTACGTCGCTTGGTTTGTTATTGCAAAACAGTGGTTGAATCAGCTGTGTGTGTACAGTTTGCTTTCTGCTGGTGTTTATGCTATGTTACAATGTATTCCAAAATGAAATCCTGGTTATGTTTATATTATTAATAGTCCAGGCAAACTAAACAAACTTACATAGGGACCGTTAAAAAAATTGCAAGAAAACGTTTTATGGTTTTATTTTGTAGAGTTGGGTTTGCAGAATGACATACTAAAAGTTGCCAAAAATCGGTGCACGAGAAAACCACTAAAATCACAATTTAAAATGGCGGCTTTTTTCAACATTGGACAAATTAAAAAAAACATATTTCACATGCATTTGCTATGCACATTTTTCGAGATATTGACTTGGGACCACCGCCTGTATTTATTGAGTGGTTAGTACTTCATTTTGATAGGGAACATGTTTTTGGCCGCCATCTTGGATCCGCCATATTGGACTTAGATAATTTGTTTTCAATGTAATGATAGTGTTGTGACACATCATTACCAACTACATTTTTACACTGATTTCAATGCCGAAATCCGTTTTTAAATATCTTTATTCATTTAGAAGATATATACAAAAGAAAACTCTGCACCATACATTTCTTATGGACGTTTCGTAGTTTGATATTTTTTTTTAAATTATTTTTCTTATATCTCCAGTTCTTATTAACGCTTGTAGTTCGTTCTAGGCTTAAAATATTCAGTAATGTAAGGGCTTTCATTTGAGCTAATGGGATTCGACAGTGCTGAGGTTAAATTAGGAGATATTAAGAGTTTGTACATCCCCAAAGCCAATAGAAAAGATATTGAAGATATTATTGTAAAATTAAAGAAAAATAGCCCCGGTATAGATGGAATAAGAGAATGTGATTTAAAAAAGTGTAATTTAGAAGCCGCTGAAGTGCTGGTTAATATAATAAATGCATCACTTGATGAAGGCAGAATGCCGACTCTGCTAAAAACTGCTATTATAAGACCTGTTTATAAATCAGGTTGCCACAATTCATACCAGAACTATCGCCCAATATCTATTCTTTCTTCAATAGATAAAATAATGGAAAGGTACATTGCACACCATTTAAATAAATACTTAGCAGAAAATGATGTTATAAATAAAAGTCAGTATGGTTTCCAGAAAAACAAAAGTACAGAGTTATTGCTGAAAGATTTTTCTAACAATATTAACAAAGAATTAGGGCAGGGCAATCAAGTAATAGTAACTTTTATAGACTTTACTAAAGCTTTTGATACACTGCAGTTTGATAAAATATTGACAGCACTCAAGGACATAGGAATTTCTGGCAGGTTTTTAGAATGGTTTAGAGACTATCTGAAAAACAGAAAAATTATTGTAAAAGTGCATAGTACATTTAGTGAAGAGGCAGAACTTTTTTCTGGGGTACCTCAAGGAAGTATTTTGGGCCCAATCTTATATATAATATATGCAAATACACTCCCAAAATATATAAAAGAAGACACGGTTTTTATGTACGCTGATGACACTGCAATTGTCGTATCAAACAAAAATATAATAGAGGCAGAAAAAATATGCAGAATGCTGTTAACAACCTTTTAGAATGGTGTCATGATTATGGATTGGTAATAAATGACAAAAAGTCCAAGGTCATGCATGTGCATTCACCTGCATTTAAATGTTCTAATGTAAGCATTACTTACCATAATTTTGATTGTTTACATAATCATACTTACTCACTTATCCCAAAAAGTTGTCAATGTAAGAGTTTAGAGAATGTGCATGATTTTAAATATTTAGGGGTTCATGTTGACCACAATTTTAAATGGGATATACATGTTAATTATGTTTGTAAAAAAATCAGATCATGTGTTTGCAAAATTTTTTATTTAAAAAGTGTCCTGCCATTTAATGTGCTATTGGTGATTTACCAGTCATTGTGTGAATCAATATTAAGATATGGTGTGAGAGCATGGGGCAATGCTTCAAAGACTTCTCTGAGGAAAATTGAGCATCTGCAGGAGCAAGCGCTCAAATGTATTGTTCCAGTGCACATTAAGCAGTTACCAATTATAAAGATTTTTCATTTTGTTATACTGCTACCTGTTAGTAAGTTATATATCTTTTTGATATCCACTGATCATTTATTTGATGACAGCTTGAAAATAGTCAATAATCACCCATATGATGTTAGAAGGAATTATTATTTTGTACCAAAGCACAGGAATAAGTATGGAAGTAGAACACTTGAAGTTTTTGTTCCCAAATGTTTTAATAACCTCACAAATCATATGGTTTTTGCAAATAGTTATAGCATGTTTAAACATTATTTAAAGGAACTTGTTTGGAATGATTTGTTACAATTTTAATTTATTACAATTATGCATTTAATTTATTTACATTTTAGTTGAAGTTAAAGTAATATATTATTGTTATTTATTCCAATAGTTTATTTGTTATTGTTACTGTTGAATTTTTACAGATATTTGTGTCTTTGTTGTCTTTTTTTTGTTATTAATTACTCAAGAGACAATTAAGAACTCATAAAACTGCATGCTACTGATTCAAACTGACAAAAACTGTATGGTAGATAAGAAACAATATTTTTAGTGCAGACAAACCATTTGTGGTTTTTGCACTTTTGTATCCTATGTATTGGCAATTATTGTGTAAATAAATTTCTTGATTGATTGATTGATTGATAAGCTCTTGATCATTAAAATCAGACGAGTTAAAGACCTGCTACGAACCTCAGAACAATATTAAATTTAACTTTTTAGAAATATATTTTTATTAAAATATTTATAACTCGGGTTGTTAATACGTCACCAAGTTCTTTCTTGTCTCAAATTACTCAGGGAATGTTTAGCTTTGATTTTATTAATCACTAAACAAAATCTGACAATTTTAGAATGAGCCATGGACCATAATTTAACATTAAAATGTATTTATTTTGAAATTTGTCTTTAGTTAAGGACATATATCCCAAACCCTAATAACTCCTGGAAAGTAATCCATAGCTAAAATAAAAGTCAATATTTTGGCGAATTATTTAAGACTATAAAGAGTTTTGGGAGTTATTTAGAATTAGGAATATACGTCTTTAACTAAAGACAAATTTCAATATAAATACATTCTAATGTTAAATTATGGTCCATGGCTCATTTTAAAATTGTCAGATTTTGTTTAATGATCAATAAAATTAAAGCCAAACATTTACTGAGTAATTTGAGACCAGAAAGAACTCGGTGACGTATTAACAACCCGAGTTATAAATCTTTTAATAAAAATATATTTCTAAAAAGTTAAATTTAATATTGTTCTGAGGTTCGTAGCAGGTCTTTAACTCGTCTGATTTTAATGATCAAGAGCTCAAATGAAAGCCCTTACATTACTGAATATTTTAAGCCTAGAACGAACTACAAGCGTTAATAAGAACTGGAGATATAAGAAAAATAATTTAAAAAAAAATATCAAACTACGAAACGTCCATAAGAAATGTATGGTGCAGAGTTTTCTTTTGTATATATCTTCTAAATGAATAAAGATATTTAAAAACGGATTTCGGCATTGAAATCAGTGTAAAAATGTAGTTGGTAATGATGTGTCACAACACTATCATTACATTGAAAACAAATTATCTATGTCCAATATGGCGGATCCAAGATGGCGGTCAAAAACATGTTCCCTATCAAAATGAAGTACTAACCACTCAATAAATACAGGCGGTGGTCCCAAGTCAATATCTTGGAAAATGTGCATAACAAATACATGTGAAATATGTTTTTTTAATTTGTCCAATGTTGAAAAAAGCCGCCATTTTAAATTGTGATTTTAGTGGTTTTCTCGTGCACCGATTTTTGGCAACTTTTAGTATGTCATTCTGCAAACCCAACTCTACAAAATAAAACCATAAAACGTTTTCTTGCAATTTTTTTAAGGTCATATCCTATATTTACCCGACTATAAGTTAATATCAAGATGAAACGTATATTTGAATCAAGAGGGAAATTATTGGCTCACTTAGCTACTTTAAAGGTAAGTTAATTGTATTCTCCCTCATTCGAATACAGTTTAGTAGGTTAATGTTAATTATGTTTGCTTAAGTTTCATAATTTTAAGTAAAGATAATTTAAACATATAAGTTTCCTATCAAGTAGGTAAAGGTAAGGTGATATAGCCTACAAACTATTTTAATTTGGTTACAACTAGATTTTTGATTCTAGGACGGCAGCAACTCTGATCATAGAAAACCTATCCTAAACCTGCCTGAAAAGCGAACGAGAAACCTGATCCTGAAACAAACTCTGATTTACCTAGATTTATAAACGAACAAAATCAATTTGAAGGCGTAAGCGATGATCAAACAAAACAGAAGGTTAGTGAAACTCTAAAAATAAATGCATCCAAAAAAGGTAACTGTTTGGTGTGGATTGTGGATTGGCCCTTACTTTTTTGAAAATGACCATAGCGATGAAGTTACTGTCAATGGAGAACGTTATCGGGAGTTGATAAGCGATTATTTTTGGCAGCAGTTGGAAGAATTGGTTGTCAATAACGAGTTGAACGACTTGTGGTTTCAAAAAGATGGGACTACTTGTCATACAGCACGAGAAACAGTGCAGTTGTTGCACACAAAGTTTCCCGGCCGTTTAATGTCTCGTTTCGGTGATCAGCGTTGGACAGCAAGATAATGTGACCTCACAGCAATGGACTATTTCCTTTGGGGATATTTGAAGCAGAAGGTTTTCGCAAACAAGCCCAACTCGATTCTGGAGCTGAAGGACGAGATTCGCAGAGTAATCCATCAAATTCCACAACAAATGATCGAGAAAGTGGTGGAAAATTTCATCAAAAGGGCTGAAGGCTGCAGGGATTCACGTGGCGGTCATTTGGCGGATATTATTTTCCATGTGTAATGTCAATCTTTAATAAATGTGTATGAATAAAAAAATACCTTGCAAGTAAACTACAATACGTATAATTTAATTTTTAAATTGTAACCTCTAACTGGATCACCCTTTATCTGTATAAGAGTCAATACTTTATTTCTTGGGAAGACAGACGTGAACATTTTTTTTTTTTTCATTTTTTTTTTGTTTTTTGCGTCTTTTTATTTGTTGGTTTACGCTGATCATTTACATATACAACACTTATATGATTTACCAACTATTAAAAAAAAAAAAGGTAATATATTGCAGCAGTTATTCACAAAAAGAAATGTTCGAACTAAAAAGCGCACTCAGTGTCATATATGTTGGGCTTTTATTTCTGCTACAGTATTTTGTTTCTTGTGTTGGTTACTCTGCTTACTCAGCTGCTGACTGTAGTCTACTGTCTGCTGTTTATTATTTACAGGTTATGTTGTTATTGCTTTAGCTTATAACCTTTTATAAGTTTGGTGTTGTACAATTTAGTTGTAAACGCTATTGTTTTTAGTTAGGCCTACTATTTTGTAGCCATGACAAAATCAAAGAAACTATTCAAGAAAAGACGTTTCCGTGGAAACCAGTACACTAATAGTGATTGCGTAAGTTCTGTAAGTGATGTAGTGTCTAGTGTTTCATCTCCTCAGACTCCTAGGCCTAATGAAGCTGAGCAACAACCATCACAGGAAAGAAGGCCTAAGAAAGATTCAGCTTCTAAACGAAAGATTGAGGATGTTTTTGATAATGATGAAGATTGGACTGATGTTGGTGAGGGTAATATCATTGTAAATACTGGACTAATTTCTAAAGCTATATCTAGTTTTTGTGTTTGTAAATTTTGTCACAAAGAGAATTCTCTCCAGTTGATAGAAAATACAACAGAAGGGAAGGGGCTTGCTTGTAGCCTATCTCTATTATGTGAAAACTGTAATAAAGAGCAGTCATTTTACACTTCCTCCAAAGTAGATACATTTTTTGATATCAATTTACGATGTGTTTATGGGTTGCGGGCGATAGGAAAAGGAATGATTGCAGGGCGAACCTTGTTTGGTTTATTGGATTTACCAAGCCCTCCTCAAAAGTTTGAACGTTACAATGGTAAAATTCTCCAAAGCCTAAAAGAAGTAGCAACTGATAGCATGATATCTGCTACAAATGAAGCTGTGCAACTAAATGTGGACGAAGAAGGCAACACATCTACGGATCTCAGTGTCGGTATTGATGGAACGTGGCAGAAGCGGGGCTATTCTTCACTCAACGGTGTAGTTACGGTGTCCTGTATTGATACAGGCAAAATTTTGGATGCTGAAGTTTTCTCAAAATATTGTCATTCCTGTGCATGTAAAAAATATCAAGTAATAAAGCATCTTGGACTGCAACCAGGCAAGAATTGTTTGAAAATCCTGACATCTGTTGACAAAGACCGAGAGCGGAAAGCTGAAATCGCGTGCCTTGAAGAGGTAAAGCAGAAAAGAAAACGGGCAAGATTTTTAAAAAAGAAGAAAAGGGATGAAGAAAAGAGAAATGAACCAGAATATGAAGCAGGAATGTTTTAAAGTGCAACCTACTCCTCTTTATTAATGAATTTCAAAATATGAATTTACTTAAAATAGATAATAAAATTCCAATAAAGTTACAATAAAATATATTTAGGTTCTATAGCTATTACAACAATCTCATTGGGCTATGACAGTGAAATTATATTTTGGTCTAGGTTTTTGATGGGCTAGGCTAGATAACAATTTGGAGAGAAAATTATTTTAATCTAGGGGTTGGTCCGTGCCGGGTATGAAATTCTGATAGGCTAATTAACTTAATTTATACAGCACTAAAGTAGGCTAAATAATATGAGATAGGCTAATAATGAGAATAAAAAAATGTAGGCTATAAGTTCTTAATTTGAAAGTCACTTGAATTTAGTCAATTCACAATGGTGTGATGGTGGTTGGAAATTGATGATGAGTTTTTGACGTATTAATTAAAGTTGATATTACCAATTTTTGTTGAATAGTGATTATCTTCTTTCTTAATATGCCTCTTTATATTCAATATTTATATGTATTCTGTTAATGTTAATTTTTACTTTTGAATATTTAAATCACTGGAGACTTGGCTCCCACATCCATCTCTCTCTATATCTTCCACCACAAGCATATTTTCTCCCTTTTCTTTAGCTTTCCTTCCAACAATGCTACTTCACACCTGGACACTGGACAGTACAAAAGAAATATTTCCTACCTAGACACCATTTAATTTTAGAATATTATTTTTGAATATAGTTTTTCTTCTTCACTAATTTATATTTCATTAAATTTAAATATTCTTTTTGAAAATACAGTAACAAATAAATATTGAAAGTAATTTAGCTACAATTCACATATGAGTACATTCATGTTTTATCTCAATATCCCCTCAGAAATGATGGTGTATGGTGATGAATCAACAGAACATTATTTCGATAAGATAATGAATGAATGTATGACAACTTAACTAATTTACATAAACAGAACCTTTTTTTATCTAGAATAAACACAAACATTGAAAACATAAATATAACTTGATAAAAACATAACATGGAACGTTAACACAACAAAACATGATTAATTATATTATTATTACAAACAAACAGTAGTAAAGAACAGAAACAGTGGAAAACATTAAGTGGTTTTGTGTCTGTATATTTGTGATGTGTGAGTGTGTGGGAAATAACCATTTCCTATTGTCTATCAGTCTATCACCACTGAACACACAGTCCTCTCATCTTTTATAAAAGTTTATCTTGAGCACTATAATTGTCTTTTAAACAATACGGTCATTTTCACTGAAAGAATGTTAATGCACTTGATTTTCAGAGAACAGGAAAGGGAATTAAACATTTTCGTTGTTCATGGGGGGAAAATACTTCTTGATTGAAGAAATGTGGTATGGACCGAATTCTTCTGGGTTTTCTAAACTACTAATGAAGTATGTCGATGATCCTAACACTCTGCTAATCTTGAATGGTCCTTCATACACTTCAAATAGTTTGGCAGTCTCGCCTTGCGCTAAATTTGAAAGAGGATGATTTCTTATGAGTACTAAATCGCCTGGATGAAAATAAGTTGTATGTGATTTGTTATGATTGTTGGCTATTTTATTACGCTTTTCTTTTATTATATGACATAATATCCCTTCTGTACTAACTTTGTCAAACTTTAATATTTTCTGTGAATCATTTATATTTATTATTATTTGTTCTTGATTGAAATCCATAACAGTTTTCCATAAGCTTAACACGTCCATTCCGAATATAATAGATCTGACTAAGTTGGGTACAATCAACATTTGAATGTTCGTGATTTGATCATCTATGGTGATTGGCAACATTATTATTTTTTATATTTTCTTTGATTTATCATTTACAGCGGTTTTAATACTTGTACCAACAACTGGTAATTGTTCATGACGGCCAATGTTTATTTGGTTCTCAGAATACCAATTTTCAGACATACACGTTACGTTTGAACCTGTATCAATAAAAGCATTTACAGAAATATTATTAATTTTAATTTTGATTTCTGGATAATGAATTGGAATTTGTTTTAATGAGCATTGTTCATTAGGACTTGGTTCTTCTGTAAGTAGGAATTCTCGGTCACAATAGATATTACATATAGTTTGAGCGTCTTGGTCATTTGGTTTATAATTATTAATTTGCCTACTTAATCCGATTTTGTTAATATTTGGCACTGAAGATCTTTGTTCATTTAATTTAGATTCTGATGTTGAGTGTAGGCAACTATTATCGACAGTGCCTAACAGTTTAAAGGTTCTTTAGGATCGTTGGGTGGTGTGACAGTATTATTTGGTCGACTCGGGTTTTGTTCAACTATCATATGATAAACTTGATTTTGTTCCCGTGTAGGGTATCGTTTTCCATCGTTTTGATTACTTTGTTGTTGACGTGGATTAAATCTGTGTTGGTTTTCTGGTGGTGGTGGATAATTAACTCTGCGATCTTGATGTCTTTCGTAGGATCGATCGTTGGATTGAGGTATTTGACGTGGATAATGGTTGTTTGGAGTATATGCTCTGTTGTCATAATTATTTCTATTTGGGTATGATCCCCTCCAATCCTTTTGGTATGAATCTCGGTGGTTTTCGTTTCTCCTCGGATGGTCATTGGTCCTATTTTGTGGATTGTTATTTTGAATTGTCGGTTTTGGTTGGTTTCGGTTCTGTTGTTCTTTGATGTCTTCTCTTAGTAATAGAGCTTCGAATTCTTGTATGGTCTTTACATTTTGGACGCGTCTTGCATTTTGGATGAGTTCTTCAAAATGTTCGCACAAGCAATCCACTATTTCTTCTTCATCAAGAGGTGGTGTCAATGATTGTAGTGTGAGGACACGTTCTACGAAGTACTCTGATCGAGACAAATTTCCATTGTTTCGGTATTTTTCAGTTTCTAAACGTTGTTTTATCCCTCGCTGTGTGTCTCGACTCCAGTATTTGTTCTCAAACAGGTGTTGGAATTGTTCCCAATTTCTAATGTCGCCTTTTACGAGGTTGAACCAACGTGCAGCGTGATTTTCAAGGCTGGTTTCAATCAGGTCGATGAGAAACTCTATGTTGTCAATATTTGGATCTTTCCTTAGTATACTCTTTTTATAGTACTTTTGCAGCTTAGCAATGAATTCTTTCGGATTATGTCCTCTACCATTGAATTTTGGTAATGTCATATCTGACACGATTCCGGAGTTTCCGTTACATGTAACATAGATATGTCGAGGGGACGATGTTACTTGTCCATGTTTAGTGATATTTTGTTTTATTTTAATAATCTCCTCCCTTTGTTTATGTAGATTCTGTTCGATAGCTGAAATTTCTTGACCTTGATTTTTAATAACGATCAGTGAATTTTGTATTTCATGGTCATTTTGTTTTGATTTTGCTGTTATAAGTTGTTCATGTTCCAACCTGAATTGGTTTATCTGTGAATGAATATCATATTTTTGTTTTTGTATTTCCAAATTCACTTTTTCAAGAGTTTGAGAATTATTTTGGATTATCATGGACTTCATTTCGGATTTTTGTTCAAAAAAATTTTCACGTATTTTGGTATCACATTCATATATTTCTGCTTTAAACGTTTCTTTCATTGTAAGGATCTCTTTGGAATGTTGAATCTGAGTTATTTGTATCTGATCCATTTCCTTACGCATGTTTTCTTGGTTAGTTTTAACAGAGGTGATTTTTTCTTCAAGGGAAATCTGGCACTGTTTAATTTCACGCTGAATTTCTGATTTTAAATTATCATTTTGTAATTTTATTTCTGACATTTCAGATTGTATTTCAAATTTTAATGTGTCGTGTTGTGAAATTATTAATGCATTATTCTGTTGAACCATTCGCATTAATTGAAGAATAGAATCATTCATATTTATTTCACTCGCAGCTGTTAGAGGCAGTGATGCGATGTCTGTGACTCCAGTCGTATGTTCATTCGATGTCAGTGTGGTGGCTTTCATAGTGACGTCACTCATCAGCTGATTTGTCTGTCTGTTGTTGTGACGATTCATCTCCGCCGTTCTTCTTCTCCTCTATGTCAAGTCCTTCTGCTGTGTCCAGTTCTCGTTCCACCATTCCCTGTGTTCCCATTGGCTGGTGTGAATTCGATGCGGATGTCATGGCGGCGTTGTCTTGTGCGTCTGCTGCTGTGTTGTCTGTTGCTGTTCTAGTGATGCTTTGTGTATGAATGTTTTCTTGTAGATTGTGTCCTTCGTTGTGCTGTGTATTCATGTCGTTTGATTGTATGTTGTTTACGGTGTTCACAAAATTATCTTGCTTATTAGCATTTGCTAATTCGCCACAATTATCGTCTGGGTCTGATTCACTGTCGGTATTGTAACGGAAATTATTTTCGGCTGCCTTCCACGATAACTTCGGCTTTGGTCGTAAATTGTACCTTTTGTCATCGTCACCCATATTGATTAAATAAATGATTATTCCCTGTGTTGTTGTATATATTTTTTATTTGTGTATTTGAAGGTTTGTTAGTTGTGTGTTAATTTGGTTACTAGGGCCTATCTTAAATTGTGTAGGTTAATCGTAGGTTAGGCCTAGATCAGAATTTTCAATAGCCCACTCGTTGGGACGCCATTTTGCAACCTACTCCTCTTTATTAATGGATTTCAAAATATGAATTTACTTAAAATAGATAATAAAATTCCAATAAAGTTACAATAAAATATATTTAGGTTCTATAGCTATTACAACAATCTCATTGGGCTATGACAGTGAAATTATATTTTGGTCTAGGTTTTTGATGGGCTAGGCTAGATAAGAATTTGGAGAGAAAATTATCTTAATCTAGGGGTTGGTTCGTGCCGGGTATGAAATTCTGATAGGCTAATTAACTCAATTTATACAGCACTAAAGTAGGCTAAATAATATGAGATAGGCTAATAATGAGAATAAAAAAAATTTGGGCTACAAGTTCTTAATTTGAAAGTCACTTGAATTTAGTCAATTCACAATGGTGCGATGGTGGTTGGAAATTGATGATGAGTTTTTGACG